TCTGCTCCTCATCGGCTAACCTGCCTTTTAAAGGTGATGGGGTGTTCCATATCAGATGTTAGGCTATGCTGTGAGGTGGGGGGGGCGAGGGGGCATGCTCTGTTATTTCCCATTAATAGTGTCAATAAATTGACTCAGTTAACTTTGGATTTGTGTGCTTGGCTTCAAGATGGACTTTCCCCATTTCAACTATTTGAGGAAAATATAAATAATGTTATTGGTCTGATGATGAATAACTCTGCTGCTTTGATAGGATGGCAGGTGACCATGGGTGCTGCCCTCCCAAAGCATGAGGTAAAGCGTAGAGGGACTCTTAAGTTAGCTGGTACAGTTTAAAAAGACCTGACTTGTATCCCTCAGGGTTCAGACCTGACACAGGCACATTAACAGAAGACAACATCGTGACATGGTGATGTTCCTCCTGTAAGAGCAGCCTTTGAGGATATGGAGGTTATCAAAAGGTGCAGCCCAGCTCCTCGCAGCTCTGCATGGTGGGAGGACACGAGGCAGCTGACATAAGCTGCAACTAGACAAGTTCAGACTGAATATAAGGGGAATCATCTTCATCATGAGGACAGCCAAGCAGTAGATCAGATTGCTCGGAGAGGTTGTGCAGACTCTGCCTGTGGAGGTTTAGAAGACCTGGCTGGAGCAACCTGGCCTGACCCCAGGGTCCCCTGCTCTGAGCAGGTTGGACTGGGGACCTCAAGATCCCTTCCAACCTGAAGTAACCTTTCCTTTTGCCAAAAAACCCCACCACATTATGCTGCAGAAAAGTGTTTTCCAGCAGTTTTGGATTAACTGTCTAGATTGGGGCTGTTACATTTACTAGTGGGGTTTTATGGTAAGCATGCTAAGAATGTGTATTGTCTCTCATCTTAAAAGCAGAATTCAGTACCTGAGTGAAGTGGCTGTGGATGCATTATGTATTTCTCAGCTTAAGAGATAAAAGAAACATTGTTTTGACTTTTTTTTTTTTTTTTTAATTCAAACATCTTATTTTTATGAAAGATGAAGGTAATTTAGTAAGTAAAAACTAACTCTTTATTATGCATAAACAATTCCCAGCCTGGGCCTGGATGAATTATTATTGTTGTTGCTATAGAGCAATAGTAAAATACTGAAGAAAGCTGTGGATTTATAAAATATTCAAGGCAGAGATGTGGCTGTACAACTTGAACACAGGAAGTGGTTTCTTAGTATTCTAGTATGCAAAGTTATGGGGTGTTACTTCTGCACTTGCCTCTTTTTGCTTTTTCTAAAATGATAATTCTTAGCATATACGGAGCTTTTAAATATACTTGTCAGTGGGCTGTATTGTGCCATTCATTTTAGGCAAACTACATATTGTTCTTAATAGGGAAACCTTTTGATTAAAAAAAAAGTCAGTGGTGTGACATGGTTCATCAGGGGATGTGGTTTTAATATTAATCCAGTCAGGTGGCAGCTCCCAAGACCATTGCCCCTGCAGAAGTGGAGCCTCTCGTTGCTGTGCCTGGGTGGTGGGCACTGGAGTTCCCAGCTCCTTGGTGCATCCTTTCCCTCTGCCGTTTCTTTACTGGGATGAAGCCTGTGGCACACCCCTGATGCCAGCCACAGCACGTTCCCAGTCTAGATAATTAGCAGTAGAAGAGTAGTTTTTCTGCTAGAGCTTTCCATTTCCCGCCTAAAATGTGACCCTACGCATTAGGCTAGTCTAGCTGTAGAGGACAAAGGTAGAGAAATGAAAGGTCAGAGGTAGGTACTGTCCTTGCAGGATGAGGGGAGTAACAGAGTGCTGGGAATTTAATCTGATGCCTGTTCGTCATTACCATCCATTGCAGATAAGGAGACAGCTCATTGAAAGTAATTTTTGCGGGTGAACTCCCACAGGGAGTGCACAACTGCTTGTGATGTGTTTGTTGATAACCTTCCCTTCCCAGGTGACAGGAATTTCTAGGGACCAAGTTTCACACCAATCTGTCTGCGCCCTCAGTTTCAGGACTCTGACTCGTGGGAGCAGATTAAAAGTTGTATGAAGCAATTATTTTCCCTGCTGCCTGCCTCATCCTGCTGACAGAGTTTGTGCTGCTGTGCACCAGGAGGACTGAATGTCTGCGGAGCAGCTCCTGAACTGCTGTGGTTTTAAGAGCTGTGATGAACCAAACCTCACTCTGGAGGCTCAATACCAATGCATCCTTAATGTTAAAGCTCTCGATTTTGTCCCTGTATCTGTTATTAGGTGGCCTGCTAGCATAGTAGGTTTTTTTCAAGAATCCAAAGTGGACTCTTATTACAGATGCTTACCCCAACCAACATGTCGAATACTCCTTCATGTTGTGAACAGTTGCCTATTCTGCTGTTTGGCTGATATGTGCTATCCTCTCAGTTATACTTCATATTTGACTTTTTAATGAACAAAAAAATCCAGGGTCCCATTTGACTGAGATGACACCACAAGTTTTGAATTTTTGTTCTTGCAATAATCGGTCATTGGACGTTGGCCAGGTTCTGCTCTGAAATTAATCTCATCAGGAGTTCACAGGGACATGAAGCATTCATTAAAAAGGGGATGAAAAGTTGCTTATAGGCGTTTTCCCGCAGCCATTGTATGTCCAAAAAGTGAAAACTGGTCTCAGAACATGTTTAATTTTGGGAGATAAGGCTGGATTAATCTGCTCACTATTTTCAGTGCTCATTCCATTGCGGTTTATTTTGGGTCATTTCATTTCAACAAGGCTTGATCTGTTTACAGCGCTTTCTATAGTAGCATGACGGGGCCACACAACTCTTTCATAGTACATATTCATTGCTAACCAGGAGCTCGAAAAACTGGTAAATGAGGCACAGACATGAAAAAGTTTAGAGAAGACAGTACATTTTTGTGTGGTTGTATTAATTTGGAAAGTTTTCTGAAATAACTGATCTTTTGTGCACCATGGGTTGCTTTGCAGAGCTTGAAGTGATGGTATATAGTAGCCATATGCTTTCGGAGGTAGGAGGGGGAGGGCTGGCTGAAGCCACTCATCAGGCTTGAGGTATTTCAAAAGCCACTGTGGCTGAGAGTTACTCTCCTTATTTGAGGAGCACTTCTGTTTCTGTAGGCAGATATTTTCACCAGGTAGAGTAATTTGATTTTGCGGTTTTAATTTTCAGATTTGCTATATGAACTATTCATATCCAAAATAGATTAAGGTTAACTAGATCTTGGTTTAAAAAGTCTTAGTTATTTGGCCTCATCAGCCAACACAAAAGCCTATGCTCATTGCCTGTGCTGAGCATGCTCCAATTTAACATTATGAAAGCCTTGTTCCCCCGAATGGAAGAGCCTTCTGTCCATCAAATCGTGACTATTTCTGGTCCTGCTCATGCCAGCTGATAAGGTATGTTGTTTTTGTGTACTTCATTAAATCAGACAGAATTAGTGTCTTGCACAACAGAAGTCAAAAGGAAGGCACGATGTCCTGAAAATGGCTGCATCTATATTGGCAGATTAAAACAGCACCAAGAAGTGTTCCTGAGTGCCAGGACTGTTTTTTTTCTTAAATTTTTAGCTTTCCTGAACTCATCTATCCTCTGCTGTTTAGCATGCTCGCAAACAGTGGCCAGGCACAGTTCAGGTAAGGGCTGATCTCAATAGTTTAATAGTGTGGAAATAAATGTTTGCATTCCCACGGGCATGGGTGCAGGAGAACCTTCCTGGACACATTTTGCTTACTCCTGTGTAGGCAGTTATTGCATCCTTATAGCAGATTAGGGGCAGAATCGGCAGCATTTCGGTGTCTGAGTAAGACGTTTAACATTAAAACTGTTGTTTTGGGATGTTTGAAGCATATTGAAGGTTTTGTAGCAGCGTGTGTGTGCATATGCATATACAGAGTCAGTGTATGTGTGTACGGTGTGATGTTCTTGCGTAGGGATTTTAATGTTTTCTTGGCTGTAGGAGGATATTCCTGCTTGGTTACAAATTGCAAAGCCCTTATAGCAGTGAATGGAAAGTTTAAAAAACACTTTTTAAAAAGTCTCAGTTTGGAAACTTACCATCTACAAGTTAAGTGTGTCAAATGCAGTTTGACTAATGCTCTAGGTCCTCTGGTCACAGCTCTTAAAATGTTGTGACTGTTTGTGAGCTGTGTCGTTGAGCGGCTTCTGATCACAGCAGCTCCTGTCCTGCAGCTGCACAACCTGCTGGTACACCCTGCAGTTTCCTTTTCTAGGGGAAAACATAGCTACCTATGTTTTGGTCAGTGTGCGATGCTGTTGGAAGTGTGCTCCTTCTCCATCTCCTCCAACACAAGCCACCCTGGATGTGACTGCCTACCCATATTATGATTGCCTCTTATTGCCTCATAACTGTCTAAAAAACTCCTGCTTTCATGTTGATTGGGAGCTCTCCTTTTGCTATTTACTTTCAGATTTAGCTCCATGCTTTTAAATTCAGGCTGCAAAAGTACCGGCTTGATTTCTGTTGATTTATGCTTGAATGGAAATAGTTCAAAGTTGTGCTCATGCTGTAAAAAGAGGAGGCCAGAAGGCAGTGAACTGTCATAAGGGTGAATGTACAAGAGATCGCAAGCAGAAAGTGGCCACCTTAGATCCTTACTGCCACGAACACACAATATAATGTGCTTAAAAGCTGCATTTCTCATAAGGAAGGTTTAAATTTGTTATTCATAGTATAGTGTCATTTATAAAAACATTTATGTTATGGTACCACCAGATACTCCAGCCAAGATACCATGAGAGGCATTTCAGGCAGTCTGGATAGTACTTGGAGTATTAATTGTATACCAGTGATCTTTTCTTAACAATGAAAATGCCATCACCTATTTTCAGTTCTTTTTTGGTGGCTAGTAACCTTAATGATCAAACAGAAGTAGTGGGCTGAGGCAGAACTCAAGGCCATCAGCTCCTCCCAGCTTGCCACATAGTTCCCAGGAAACACCCTGTATTTCATTAGTTCTTGCTTAGTTTATAGTGTAATATTTTGCTCGAAGGCATTACACTACCATCAAAAGCAGTAGACCAATTAGTGTGACTTCTTTTTCCAGGGTCGTTGTACAAGGGAGAACTGCAAGTACCTTCATCCACCAACACATTTAAAAACTCAACTGGAAATCAATGGCAGGAACAACTTAATACAACAAAAAACTGCAGCAGCAATGCTTGCCCAGCAAATGCAGTTCATGTTCCCAGGGACACCACTACAACCAGTGGTAAGTATATTACCCTGATGGTGTTATTGGTAAGTAAAGCTGAGGCAGAAGACTATATTGACCTGCAAAAGTTCTCTAAACTAGTATTAGTAAAAATAGTCCCCATCTGTTGACTTAAGAAATTGCCCAGATGCTAGAGATGTATTAATTTATATTTGCGTTTGAAGATATAATGGAGTTCTGCTGTAGATTCAATATATTTTATTTTTTTTTATCCCAGACTAATTTGCCAGAGTTTTTTTCTCTTTTTTTCCTCCAATCAGTTCATGTCAGGTTTAGTTTAGATTTGCAAGGTTTTTACCTCTACTCCTTCTCAAGGTGAAAATGTGTATAATAATAATAATAATAATTTGCTGGTAAGCTATTTGAGTAGAAATGCAAAGTTTCTCTGGAGTCTATGAGTTTGAACATCTTTATAATAGTATTTAATCCCAGTACCAGGAACAAAGGTTTATGTCATTCTGGGTAGCATTTTCTTACTCTCTTGGAATCTAAAGCAGATCAGAATAAGACAGAGAATTCTGGTGCACGCACTTTACAAACTCAGCATTTTATCCTAAGGTAAGGCATGTGGTGCCTGGGACACTTCAAATCCAGAAGGTGACATAGAACTAGAGTCTTGCAGGCATGAGCAGCATTTTTGGATATACGTGAAAATGATTAATTGCTCTGGGCTGCCTTTGCAGTTGAGCTCCTCATTGTACCAGACCTCCAAAGCATGATTAGGCAAGTAATCAGAATTAAAACTTTTCCCATGTGGCTATTAGTGATGTTTTCTCAATCTGAATGACTAGTGTAAGGCACTGGAGTGGGATTTCTTTCTCTAACTTGAAGCATCTGAGTGTTGGCATCAGTTTCTGTGCTGGGCTTCCTAGGCCCATTTATAGTTTAACAAAAGAAATAGGTACTTCTAATTACCATTCACTTGGCTTGTTTCAGATGTCTGCACTTGGTTTAGATGATTTGGTATTTAAGCACCTTTGTCTTTCCATGGGCTGCTATCTCAGGAGCCAAGTCTAAGCATCTCAGAAAAAGACTGAGATTTGGTCACAGGAAGCTCACCCCAGATGCCTTTTTCAAATGTAGTTTTACACTTGAAACATCTGCTCTAAGGTGGGAGGCACGAACAAAAACTGGATGTCAGGGGTCCCTGCATTTCTGGTGCAAGTTCATCTTGGTATCTTGGTATATTGACATAATGTTTTTTGATATTTCCTGGGTTTTTACTGCTTGAGTTTTCACCAGGAAGAGTTTTTATTAAGTAATAGATTCCATCTCTTGGTATTATAAGAAAAATTGAAGAGACAAAATAATACTTTTTTCTACTCACCCATTTCATCATTTGAACTTTACAATTGCATTGACATAATGCCTTCTGTACTGATTGCCATGATAAAAGTGCTGGGTTTCATTTCTCTGTCTCGCATAAATTACCAGATTCAGATGATTCAGTCTTGACCAAATGGATAAAAAGTGAAAGAAAATTCCATAGAAGTCATTTGACATGTGGATTTATTCTTAAAATTATCTCTGATACAAAGCTGTTATTTACGTTTTACATAACACATATTGTCCCCAACATAGATGAACCATTGTTTTGTATGAATGTTCATTATTATGCTTTAAAGAATTTAGCTCACACTTGACATATAAACTGTGCTGTTTGATATCAAGCAGTTTTGATGTCTGATAAAAACAGAGTATTATTCACTTTAACTCTCTATGGTATGCTATTTACCTGCTATGGGTCTCCTTGCTAATCTGCTGCTCAAAACATTTTCTTGGTACTAACTCACATTAGTTTAGTAAGTGGTTACAAATACACACACAAAAAAGCAAAAAACAGGAAAAAAAAACCCCCAGAAATAAACCTTCTAGCTCCTATGCTTTCTCTTGCATATTTTCTACACGTTGTGCGTGTCTGGCTTCCCTTCTCCAACAGAGGCTGTGCAGGCCACCTTGATGAGAAAGACACTCCTCCTTCGTTAAGTGTTTTTAAGTAATTTCCTAGTGTTCTGCTCTTGTGTGGTTCATTTCTAGATGCCGGCTTATTCGGGAACTTAATTTCTGACAAAGCTAATCTGAGATTTGTCCTGTTTTTCTGCATTTATAATTATAGCTTCACTCTTTGGTGTAAATGTCAGCTCTGCAGAACTAAAGCACTTTCCAGGTCTAACCATGGTGATGTTCTGCCTCCATCCCCCCATGGAGCTGGTGGTAACAAACCCACCATTTTGCCTTGTAGAGCTGTGTTTTATAGCATTGCACAAGTGCTCTTTCTTCTGGTCATGACTTAACTGACTCACTGTAAGAAGGCATGAAGCAGATTTTTGGGCGTATATCATTCCTTCCAGACAATTTTTTTTGTAAGATAAACTCTAGCTAAGCCTGAATAATCCCTTTCTAAATATTGTGTCCAGCTGAGATTATAATATTTATTCTGCTTGCCACTGGTGACAGCTGAGCACACAAACATTCACAAAGGTGAGGTTTTTTGATGTGTGAGCCACAGTAACATATAATTGCAGGAGGTGGTAAAATACAGCATGCAAGCAGATGGAAGTTACATGCCAAAGAGCTCATTATATATAGTCTTATTAGAAATATGGCTTTAATATAGTTAATAACGCTTCACCTCTGAGATCTGGTACTTTGAAAAATAGCCTGTTTTCACAAGGAAAACAGGTTTTGAGAAAAAGCAATAAAGCCTATGTTATTTCTACTTTCAGATGTGTAAATAAGCCTGCAATGTAAGTTGGACCTCCATAGAGATTCAGGTTCAAAGTATGACTTCCTTTGCATCGGCAGCCTCTTTTCCAATAATAGAGCTATAAAGTGCGGCTCGTAGTATGCCGCAGGAATGGGTTACATGATTAAAAGAAGAGAGCGTGCTGTGTGTTTTGCCAGCTGTTTGAAATTTTTTGAGAAAATGACTTGGCACCAGAAAGAACATGCAAAAGACAACTAATAAGCTCTTGATTAAGGGTTTGGTTTTTTTCATCTTGCTCTGTGTTTTCGTTTTGCAGCCCACATTTCCAGTGGGTCCGACAATAGGAACGAACACGGCTATTAGCTTTGCTCCTTATCTAACACCAGTAACACCGGGAGTTGGCTTAGTCCCAACTGAGATCCTACCCACGCCGCCTGTCATTGTTCCTGGGAGTCCACCGGTTTCAGTCCCTGGTTCAACTGCTACCCAGAAACTCCTCAGGACTGATAAACTGGAGGTACTGTAGACACCACCGTGACTAGAAATACAATCCTAATCCTCTCTTAGACTGTGTGAGAGATCCTGGAGGGAAAAACTCTGTTGTTTTAAAAACAATGCTTAAATTTAGTTTCTATAAATAAGGACCTTGTAACCAGTCAGGATTTCTACACTTGCAGCCAGTGGTAATTAAACATTCTTATTTTTAAGGTAGTGTGTTCACTCAAATTTAACACATAGACATTGACATGAAGTTTCATCTTTCTTAAAGTTCATCTCCTCCAACATACCTCAGGTATACATGCCTGTAAAGGTTCGCTTTGATGAAATATCTAACAAGCATGTTTTTATTGCAGTATTAATTCTGTCCTAGTTATTATGCATTGATATTAGGGGAATTTTATAGCCCTATGGATCGATATTAGGGGAATTGTATAGCCCTTCAGCCTTGAGCTACAAATGGAGATGTCAAATGTTACCAACCTTGGAGCAGGCTGAAGGGGCAAGCCCCCAGCTACGTGCAGAGCTTCTCTGGTCTTGATGGATCTCTACATGGCTGGGCTCAGTGGAATCTGTGATCCAAGGACACCAGAAGGCCAACTGGCTCTTGCAGAAAAGAATGTCCTTTCCCAAAAGCCTAACCACTGGTGTCTAGAGCATGTTTCTTCTTAGGAAATCAGCATCTTCATTCTGCTAATTTTTGAAAATTACTTTTAAGGAGGCTCTCCCATTTTGCTTGTGGACTCCATAAAAAATGCAGTGCATCTGATGCACATCTTCCCTGGCTCTCATCAAAAGGAACTCCTTCCCCACCAGTGGAGCTGCAAGAATATAAAGTGTAGTCAGAAAGGGACTGAATTGTGATTCCCAGCTAGTTTTGCAGGGGCAGTTATTTCAGTAAGTATCCATCCCAGGTATTTTCTAGACAGGAAAAAGGAAAGGTATTTGGGAATGCTTCTTTTGCATGGAAAGTTCATTTAGCTGCTGTACTGCACAGCTACCTGAGGATCCGAGTGTGTAGGGGTAAAATAGATGCATTTCCCTCTCCCCTCTCCTGGAAGAAGATGAAGGGTTTATTAAACTGAATTCACTGAAAAACTTGAACCAACCGGGGAAGGGGGCAGGTCTGTCTTTTGGGGGGCACGGGACTCTCCCTGTCTCCCTGCCCTTTTGTGTTGCGCCGAGCTCTTCCCCTGCAACGCCTGTTGTTTTGCACGTAGGTGTGCAGGGAGTTCCAGCGGGGAAACTGTGCGCGTGGAGAGACTGATTGCCGCTTTGCACATCCGGCGGACAGCACAATGATTGACACAAACGACAACACCGTAACCGTGTGTATGGATTACATAAAAGGTCGTTGCATGAGGGAGAAATGCAAGTATTTTCACCCTCCTGCACATTTGCAGGCCAAAATCAAAGCGGCGCAACACCAAGCTAACCAGGCTCGGCGGCAGCTGCGACTGTGATGGTAAGTGCTGGCATAATATATGGCTGCCTTTCTTTGACAGAAGCTCTTTGGTGCCTATTTTGCTGCAATTTAATGCTGTTTGCTTATACTTTATTTTCTGGTTTGCAGTTTTTTTTCTTTTTTTTTTTTTTGTTAGAAGATTAAGAATTTATAAAATTATTACTATTGCTTGATGGGAGGAAGCACTTTTTTTTCTTTGTGCCCTTATTTTAATGCTGTATTTCTATCCAGGACAGTGAAGCAAATGACACTTCATACCACTTCTGTTCTCTGCCTTGATTATGTGTTAAATTTGCCCCTAGTATTTCCAAACAGAAACAAAACTGATAAGCTTCAATGCCCCTGGAAAACAGGGGCGCATATGCTGGTTTAGCTCTTTGATGACAGATGTACACGTGGAAATTTGGAAGAAAGGGAAGAAAAACAAAGAGATTTTGCCTCAAAGATCAGTAGTAGAAAAGAAACCTGTATTGGGATTCATCTCACCCCAGCTTAGATGCCAGACAGATATCTAAGCCTAGCCTAACCACCTTGGTCTCACTTTATACGTAGTCAAGAAAAAACAGCACATTGACCCACCACTAGGGCCTGTCTGAGGATGAGGAAGAACTGCCCTCTGTAGATACATGTTTGTCGCCACTGACGGAAAACTGATGACTATCTTTTTTAACTGGGGTTAGATAAATCTCATGCCTAGAGACTTTCCTTGCCTCTTCCACTGACATGGGCAAGTTATTTGAATCATGGGGTTTAAAAGTAGTAAACTAAAATGGGAATTATTAAGAAAAAGCATCATAACTATAGTCAGAAGAAAAGAGGTTGAGAGTTTTCTATTTTCAGATATTTTAAGCTCTTACTGAAAACTGTTCAGAGAAGTCAGCCCAGCCATTTACGAGTATTGGATCTCTCTGGTTGCTACCAGGAAAGTTGGTGAATTTAAATAGAGCGGTATTGATAAAGTTAGATAAATTGAGCATGCAGGATCTGACTTGGGAGACAAAAATGCTGGCAACAAATCAAAGAATCATTGTCCTCATTGCTGGCAGTGGACGAATAATTAAGCAGATGTGGTTTGTGGACTTGTGGGCAGTGCATACAATAGCTACAGACAATACAGTTATTCTCTGGGTAAAAAGCCTACCCAAAAAACAATACAGTACAGTATATAACTACCCCAGGCTATTGTATTTAGCAAATTAGCAAAGACCAGACTTTTTGAGGGACAAATGGTAGGTTATGCAAGAAAGTAAACCTCCAAACAGAAGATAATTTCTAAAGTTTTAATGTTCTTTCTCTTACAGTATCCTCAGTCTCTGTTTCAAACTGGATGATTTTTAGTTAAACTTTCCTGTGCTTGCAGAAATTGAATACCATCTGGAAATGAAAGCAAAGGAGATTTTTTTTTTTTAATTCTAATTAGCTTCTATTGTGCAATATTTATTGTCCATTTAGAGAATGTAATATTTCTAGGCAGCATACTAAAGAAAGGAGGGAGACGAGGGGATTAATTTTTTTTTTGCTCTTCAGTAATGGTTGGATATATATCCTGTGATTTTAAATAAGCCATAATTGGAGTAGCATTAGCCTCAAAGCAAAATGAAGCATCTTTGGAAACACGGAATTGAAATGTTAGCATTCTAATGTCACAGGAGGAGAAGGCAGGGACCTGTAATTCAGGGTAATTTTTTGCAGAAGAGTATGTACAAAATACATTAATGGCATATTTAGTCAACCAAACAGAAAAGATTCTTTACAATCCAACTATTTTTTGTTTAATATAGATTTGAAACAATCAGAGTGAATGAAAAATCACCAGAATGATAATAACAACAAAAAAGTGGCAGAAAAGACACATGCCTGCAAGGCCACCCAAGAATGGCCAAGAATACTCATTTGAATCTAGAGAGCAAAAGTAAGGCAGAAATACAAATGCTTACCTCTAGGGTACACTTGCAGGTTGCTCCCAGGTTGAAATTGTGTCTGAGAGGTTTTCCTTCCTGGCTGGGGAGCTGGCTGCATTTTTCTGGTCCAGAGGGTGCTCGTATAGGTGAGTATTCTAGATAGGGTTAAAGCACTGTAGGCAAAGCTTCTAAGACCATTGAAGGTCAATGAATTCTGCAGTCCAGGACCTTTCAGAAAATGTCTTGTCTGTATTTCTGTGTGCTGAGGTTTAGGAATTTTTACTCGGGAATCTTAGGTGACCACATCGTTTGAAGTAAAAAGAAAGGGGAAAGGTACTGTGAAAGAGGCTATAGACCATGTCCAGTTTAAATGTGAAATGCATTAGAAGACAGTGTCATCTATCACTGTACTCGGGGAGCTCCAAATATTCATATGGTGCACCAGTGAACGTAAAAAGTCACTGAAGAATGTACAAGCAGTGTGAGCTACAGCAGATTGCCCAGAACGTGCCTAAGTGGCTTTTGAAAGTCTCCAAGGATGGAGATTCCACAACTTCTCTTGACAACCTGCTCCATAGTTAAATCATGCTTACAGTAAACAAAACAAAACAAAACAAAAAAAATCTTACATTTTAGTGGAGTTCCTTGTGTTTACATTTGTTCCCATTGCGTCTTGTTCTGTTACTGGGCACTGCTGAGAAAAGTCTGTCTCTGTCTTTACTGCCCTATCAGGTATTTCCGTACGCTGATGAGATCCCCCTGCATCTCCTCTTCTTCAGGCTGAACAGTCCCAGCTCTCAGCCTTCCCTTGTATGAGGGGTGCTTCAGTCCCTTAATTGTCTTTGGATCCTTTATGAGACTGTTTCTAGTATGTCCATGTCTTTCTTGTACTGGCGCACCCAGACCTAGACATAGCATATGCAGCCTCACCAGTGCTGAGTAGAGGGGAAGGATCCTTTCCTTCAGCCTGATGGTGATGCTCTTGTAATGCAGCACAGAATGTGCTGGCTGCCTTTGCTGTGAGGGCGCATTACTGACTCATGTTCAGCTTGGTGTCCACCATGATCCTGAGGGCCTTTTCTGCCAAGCTACTTTCCAGCTGGGTGGTCTCCAGCACGTTCTGCCTGGGGTTGTTCCTCCCCAGATGCAGGACTTGATATTTCCCTTTGTGGAATATAGTGACGTTCCTCTGAGCCCATTTCTCCATCCTTTCCAGGTCCCTCTGAGTGGCAGCACATCTGTCTTTGGTACCAACCTCTCCTCCCAGTTTTATGCTGCTAGTGACTGGCCTGCAGCTTGACTTGGTGTTGCTGATCACAACCCTTTGACCTTGGCATTTGAGACAAATTTCAGTCCCCCTCACTGTTTCTACTTAGCCCATACTAAATGACTTTGTCTGTGAGGATGAAATGGGAGACAGTGTTGAAAACCTTCCTGAAGTCAAAAGAAACAGCATCCATTGCTTTCCCCTCACCCACCAAGCCAATCTCATCATAGAAGTTTATCAGGTTTGATAAGCACAATCTCCCCTTTATAAATCTATGCTGACTACTCCCTGTGACCTTCTTGGATTTCAGGTGTTTAGAGATGGTTTTCAGGAGGATTTGCTCAGTCACTCCTGGGGACTGAGATGAGGCTGACCAATCTGTTGTTCCCCAAACCTTCCTTCCTGCCATTTTTGGAGATAGGAGTGTGATTTACTTTCTTGGAGTCTTCAGGAACTTCCCCGAACTGCAGTGATCTTTCAAAAATTAAGAGTGCCCTTGCAATAACATTGACCAGCTCCCTCAGCACCCATCAGTGCATCCTACCAGGTCCTACAGGCTTGTGTACCTCCAGTTTGTTTTAACATTCTCTAGCCTGATCTGCCTCCTCCAAGGGTAAATCTTCCTTGCTTCAGACTTTCCTACTGACCCGAAGACCAGTCTTACCAGTAAAGACTGTGGTGAAGAAGATGTACAGTACCCCAGCCTTCTCCATGTCCTGTGTCACCAGGTCACCTACCCCCATTCAGCAGTAGCCCACATTTTCTCTAGTTTTTTGGTTTTTTTTTTAACCTGTAGAAGCCCTTCTTGGTATCCTTCACATCCCTTGCCAGATTCAACTCTAGGTGGTCTTTGGCTCTCCTAATGCATCCCTGCATGCTCAGGCTGTGTCCTTATTCCTCCTGGGCCCGTTTGTCCCTGCTTCCATGTCTTGTGTGCTTTCCTTCTTGGGTTTGAGTTTAGTCAGGAGCTCCTTGCACATACGTGCAGGCCTCTGCTGTGTGGATCTTGCTTCCATTCCAGGCGATGTTGTAGCGTACCAATGTGACATACAGCAGACAAATATGATGCCTCAGTATGTTTGAACATTTTTATTATTACCTTTATTGCCTATCTGTAGCCTTTTCCTCTCCAGTCTGTAGCTATTGATTTTTTTGGTTGTTAGTTACGTAGGAGATCAAATGTTGAGCAGGAGATTACCTAGTGGAAAAGAAAAAGGCAAAGGAGGTTTTACTATCAGGACAAAATGAAAGAAAAGATGAAGGTGGGAGAGAAAAGTAGACAGTTGGTCTGAAAGCCTGAAAAGAGGGGGAGACTACATGGAAACAAGGTTGATGAGTAGGTCTAGCAACATATCAAGTTAAATCCTTTAGGCTAAGAAAACTGTGAGACTGAAATTTCTGTGGAAGATGAGGGCAGAGCCAGCAAAGCGCTTCAGAATAGGGAGGTGAGGTTAAGAAGAGCATGGAGAAGTGGAGAAAAGCAATCATTAACGCAAAGATAATAAGTTGGATAATAAAGGTAATTAACTGAAACACTTTACTCTTAATGATGTTGATTTGAATTTGTGGACTTCGTCATTGCATGATGCTGAATTCAGTCATAATGCTTCACCTCCATGTAGACATCTGTCCATGGTGGATGCAGAGTTGGTCTGAGGCTGTGCTCTGTGCAGACAGAGTGATGTCCCTTGTGGGGGTTCCCACGGAGGGTACCACATGTCGGCTGCACAACACCCTGCTTCGACACAAGAAAGCTCTCCAGATCTTGACTTTGCACCAGGTGTGTCTTGTTACATCTGTGTCTTGGACCCAGAAGCGTGAGCAGATCCTGTAGACCAGGGTATGTAATCCAGAAATGTGCGGAAGG